CCACTATTTATTATTTATGAAAAGGTAAATAAAAACCATTACTTCTCTGATAAAAAATGGTTTCTTCTTCTAAAATTGAAATTTACTTGATGAACACCTTATATATGACGGAGGATATCTAAAACCACAAATATAAAATTTCAGTATGCCCAATTTTTATCCATTTCAATTCATTTCAAATTTTCAATAACTTTACTTCTAACTTAAGGGTTAAACAATTAAAAAAAGTGTACAGTAGTTTACAAGAATATCCGAACGTAGTTTCGAAATATATTTTTAAGGAAATCTTCATACGAAAATTGAGCCAAAACCATATAAATACGATACTATCGACGATATATCGATAGTTTTGAAAATAATCTCGAAAACTATCGATGGTCTGACTATCGATAGTTTTGCACCTCTAAAGAGAAGCGTTCATTTTGTACTGGCAAAATTTTAGTCAGCAAAAATTATCCAACACGAAAACATATGATCACAAAATTTTAAAAAGCTGTTTCTGGAAAGAGCCTTGCACTTCCTTAAACTAAAATTAATTGTGAATGTAACAAAAGTATTCGCAATCATCGTGTTTGTAAATTTTGGTTGAGTGCAAACATTTCTGATCATTCAGTGCTACACTGAAAAAATATGCCTTGATACTAGAAGAAAATCTTTATAGGAGAAAATAATCGTTTTACTTCTGCTTTTCTACCGCTGCTACAATTTGGTAAAGCATTACCTATGACCAAAAGTACGTATCAGCTTTGGATATTCTGTCAATGCTTTTTAAAACCATCTGCATATTTTTGAGGGAAACTTGTGGTCAATTTTATGTAACGAACTAAATTTTTATTTATACAACATTTTCAACAGAAATAGTCAAAAAATGGCGAAAACCGTGGCAATGTAAATTTTTTGCAGTTTTTTCTAATTTTTTACAATAAAAAATACTATTTTGAAAAAAACTTTTATATAAAAAATGTGGAAAATTAAATTCTCTACATATTTGTATATAACCATTTTTTTCGAAAAATGCAAAATAAGCTTGCAAATTTGAAAAAACCCAAAACAACTTAAATCCAAGATGGCGGAATGTTGCCAAATGAAATTTAGGGGCAAGACTGTGGATCCATGATCTACGTGTCAAATAGAAGTAAACTGCATTAAAAAATCGCTGTTACAAATTTTTTTCAATTTTCCTACCAAAGTTATCTAATTTTACTGGGCTAATTTTTATTTCTCAATACCAGGCGCTCATACATATGAAGTAGCAAGTTTTCTATACGTATAAATTTGTTTGTAGAACTTTTTAATATTTTTTTTTTTTTTTGTAGAAGCCTTTGAACTATACAAATTAGAATTTTGGAAATTTAAAAATTTATACAAACAATTTTGTACGTAGAAATAGAAAACTTGTTACTTCACATTTATGAGCGCCCGGTATCGGGAAATGAAAATATCGTTTTTTACAAACAAAAACTTACATGAAGGGTGGCCGCGCGAAATGGGCACATATGTATCTTCAAAAAGGACATTATATGTATGTGGATAAACCACGGACTGAATGATAAAAGCTGATATCATTCGATAGTTGTTATGCTTGATTATTTCATGATCTACATATTTTCGAATATTTTAAAGAAAAAAATTATAGATATCAATTGTCTTGGATCATTTTGCACTCAGTTTTTAAACAACCAAAACTATAAATTTGTACAATAGGGATATTCGCGATTCGGTGCATAAGAGCTGACAAATTTATGCAATTGCAGAAATATGCCATGGATTGTGAGCGACCTTTATTAAACTGTCATGGTAAAGCTTTTGCAAAACAATTTTTGTGCAACAGCTTTGGTTTTGTTTATGAATGCAATGCATAGCTAGGCCATTTGCACCGGATCGCGACTGGCCCTAATATGTTCATGTGAATCAAGCTGCGTTTCATGGGTGGAGGAGTCCAGTCTAAGCATAAGCATTCATTCATGACATTCATTCATCTGGAAGCTAATTCAGTATTGAATTTTGTTTACTTCAGCATTCTCAGTTTTCATTCAGGTATTTACCATGATAAAAATATAGTAAGGTAGAACCGCTGAGAGTAACTTGACGTTTCCAAACAATTTAATTTTTAAATTTACTCACAAACTCACACACACATTTTCATTTTCAATCTCAAGCAACCACAATTTCGAAAAATTTCAATTTTTTATTTTCACTTTTATATGATTATAAAATGTTGGCAAGCTTCAAAAAAAAATCATGTCCGACAAATTGAGAGAACGGTTCTACCTTGCTATGTTTTTATCATGGCGTTTACCACCTTGCTCTGTGAAACCAATTTTTTTTTAATGATTGTAGATTGGAAAAAATATGAGCCACACTACCAGACATAAAGAAAAATAATGAAATCCTAATTGCAAATATTTCACGATTAAAAATTTAAATGATTTCACAATTTCACAGCTCTGTCCTATATTCGCAAAATAACATTAATCATTTGTCTAAGAATGACACATTTTTTCAAAGTATAACAACTTTTTCGTAAAATACATAAAGTATCTCAAAGCCCATTAATCTCCGATAAATCTTGTAACATACAAAGAACGTAAATCTATAGATTCACGTTCTTTGTATCATATTGTGCAATTGCCAAATACTGAAAATTCCATCAATAATATTGAAGCTTCAGTATGGTACTACTGCATGCAATCCTGCACAAATATGGCCGCCGAGCTAGTGGTCGGAACGCAAAATGGATGGTTCGTTCGGCAAATATTCTGCTCGACGTTTCAGTTTCCGTAATGTTCTCAACGCGTTCAGATGGCATATGGTCAGTGCGCTTGGTGTTTTTATGAATATTTTAAACTTGAACGAGACACAAGATACAAATTTATGTGCGAGTGAAGAGTACAGTGGAGATTTAATTCCGGTGAAACGCAGAAAAATTGTCTGGATTTTACAAGAATTTTAATGGTGTTTTTTTGTGGGAAATACTGTCAAAATATTAAAAATTATTTTGTCGAAATATAGAGCTAAGCTTGAAAATTCAATTTGCTATTGAATTTAGAGCAGATGTCTATAAGAACACCAGGAATTTCGTGATTGAAAAAAGCTGTCTGAGGTAAGTGGACATGGCTGCAAATAGTTGGTTCATTTGATCAGGGTAGAGAAAATTCGATTGTCCGCAGTGTTGTATTTTTCGTACTGTACTGTGAAGTAATTTACTTTCGATTTAGTTAATATAAAAGAATCGGAGGCAAAATGTTGGAATTTAAAAAGTAAGGTGTGGTTGCCGAAACGCAGCAAAGTATGAATTTTATGTATTGGAATATCGTTTTTTGTGCAGTCGTTTGGCTTGCTATCAAAACGACGTACTGAGAAAAGTGTACTTGACAACCCTCGATTGTGTGGCATTCGGCAAACGGCATATCAATATGGCCGCCGCACAAAACTGGGAAGTTGGCTCGACAGTTGCGCGATGTTTCATTTCTCATTCATTCTCGGTGCAGTGTTCACTTTGTAATTAAAAAATGAGTAGCAATTTTTAAATGGTATGAAGAATTTTATAACTGCTGGATGATTAAAATCAATTCAAGGGATCGATGTATTAAAGGCTTTATAAGCACTATCACATACATTTCATAAATTATTTGTACACGTTTCATACGTTAAATTTGTTTCCATTCGTTCCTTATTTAAAGGGATTCGATATTTTCTATAAAATACACTAAGTTTGATTTAAATAGTTTACTAAATAAACAATTTACTGATAAAGTTGCTTATAAAAAAGTACCTAGGGCAGCGGTATTTGAATTGTTTTCAATCAGTAATTATTTTATAAACCTCTAATAATTTATTTATACTTATACTAAGTCTAAAAAGTGAAAGATATATCGAATCTTACTTAGGTCTAATATTCTATTTGAAAAGATTAATCTGCATTGTAAAAATTCCCAAATTTGTGCATATATACATACATGTGTATTGTGAAAAAGATTAAGCAAGAGCACTCTGTGTTATCATTTTACTGTGTGATAAAACAATTTATAATCTTGCGAAATTAAAGCATTTTTTAATATACTTGTAGATTATTTATGCATTTATAGGTAAAGAGAAATGCGACAGAGACTATAATACCAATACATTGATAAACTTAAAAAAATTACACATTCTACATTTAGTATTTATCATGGTATTTACTACATATGTATGTTTAATGACAAAACCAAATTGCATACAATTTGAAATTCAATACAATGCAAAATATATGTACATTCATATATATATATTTATGTGCATAAGTATATGCAACAGGCAATCATTTAATTTACTTATTAGTAGTTGCGATCCCGTACGAGTCCGGACTAGTCAGAATCAGTCAGATTTTACTGGAAATCGATCCCGTACTCGGTTCTCTGACTATTGAGAGGACAAAGAAGAGAGTAAATACGGTTCTCTCTCTGTCAGAAGTTACCATTTTTAGTCCGAGAAGTTTTTGCTGGTAAATTCTGGTAAATGTGTCAAACGCTACAGTTGATCGCTGTGTTTGGCAGCCAAATTGTAAACAAAAGAAAAGTGCACTCTGCTAATTCATGTTGAAAAGTATTTAATTACTTGTTTAAGTGGATTCTAATGAATTTGAAAGTATTTTTGGTTATTTACATGTACGAGTTGGATGTGTTTACATGCAAAATAAGCAAAAATTAACAAACAAAATTTGGAGGTTATGTTGAAGTTGACAGAAGTTACCATTTTTTACTAGAAAGCGATCCCGTACTTTTCAATGTTACTCTCTCGCTCTGAGCAAATTTTTATTTTTTGACAGTTTTACTAGTCCCGAGTCCGAGGAATACGGGATAGCACCTAGAAATTGAAAGTCATATACCTACAAAAACAATATTTTCTAAGGGTGTTATGTTTAATTTAAGGTTATAATTGTAGCAGATTGTTGCCCCAAATCTCTTTTGGGTATGTAAGCCAAATTTTTGGTCTCGCCTGGATTTTCCAAACCATCGACTAAGTATCATGAGATCATTTTAAAATTGGGAGTGTCTACTTACACTCGCTATGGTAACTATTACCGTGGATCCAGTGGAGTACAAAAGCGAACTCTGATTGCAAATTTTTTCCTTTATCATTATTATTCACACCAAGTTTTCCAAATTGACGCCATTGTTGTGGCGCTTCTTTCTGCGAAAAATCGAAGAGGTGCGCAAGCTTTTATAAGCGGAGGTATTGAAGTTGAACACGAAGTGGTTCATCTGTTTATTAACTAATTATACTACAGCTTCTTTTGGAAATTCTCAATATGCTTTGAAAATGAACACAAAGGGGTAATAAAAGAAAAACTTTGAAAGCACTAACTTTTGCTTACAGTGCACGCGGTAGCTCTAGAGGATTGGAATTATCCTTTAAATGTCGCCTGATTGAAGCCGCGTTCATGCACTTCTCTTCCTCTTAAACAAATAATTGTGATGAACTTAGCTTTACTGCTGTCTTTTCTTTAAAACTCTCTATTTTAATAATTTAATTTTACTCGCACAGCTTGTGTACAGCCGCTTGCTGGTTGTCGAACTGTCAAATTTCGATTACCGATAACTCTACAGCAACTGACGATAGTCGCAATTCGTAATACAAATTTTCTTTCCAGTTGCGTTTTCCAGCTGGCACCACGGTTCGGTGGTTGCGTTGCTATCCGTAATCGACCCATTAATGTTTATTAGTCTGCCAGGCTATACAACAAACCCCATATAGCTTTCAAACTTTGTACAAGGATTTGAAAAATTTCGCCAATTTTCACCCAAATATCAAACTTTTTAATCAGAAACTCTAGAAAAAATTGTTATATGCAGTTTTGTAGCGCTTTAGTTCTAGTTTAATGAAGAGCAAGTTTGAAGTTGGTAAAAAATTCCGTTAATTTTTGAGAATTTTTTTGGTTGAAGGTGTTTCACGTTTTTTCCATACAAAGTATGTTTAAACATCATCAGCTGTTTTCGAAGGTTGGAAGTTTTTGTAAATTTCGCGATCGTACTTCTGTATATATTTCGGCTCTTTGAGAGCGAATGCTGCTAGATTCTCAGAACTTGTTGCTAGAGAATTTTGTCCTCTCAATACGAGTACACACATATTGATTGTCAAAAATCATCAAAATTGAAAGCCATTACGTAGGCTGCATTGGGCTGCATTCAATTTGAGATGAAATTTCACTATCAACATGTCGTCTTCAAGGAAACAATGTAACTAACTAGATTCTGAAGACCACTTTCCATTTTTAATTCCATTGTAGATTAACATTTTAGCATGCAGAAGCTTAGTATTTTTTTTTTCACAAAATTGTAACTCAATTGAAAGGGACAAATTGAAAGCAGTTGCCCATTCAAGTAATAAATAAAAGCTATGTTAGTCTAGATTTAACTTAATTTAACTTACCGTAAGAAATCATCATTACTCAACACGTCAACTTAAGCCAGAAGCGGAAATATTTTTTTTTGTATTTTCCTTTTAAGCTCTTTGACAGTTTGCCGCCTAAAATGCCACATAAAAAAAAATCATGCAAGCAAATAGCTCTGATCCAGTACTCCATGAACTTACAGGATTTCACATGAACTTGCAGGAAGTTGCAAGAAAAATGTTCCCGTACTCCAAAATCATGTAAATGAGAGCGACTTTTGGAGAGTTGTGTAGAGAATGAAGTTGCAAGATTTTACCCGAACTTTTTCTTCTGGTAAAATCATGAAAAGTGTCAAGCAATCACTGGTTGACGTTTTTACAGGATTGGAAATGGATTTTTTGTTCCCGTACTTTTTGTTGTTACTCACTTTTAACTCTCACCCTAGAGAGTAATTTTGCTGTTTGACAGTTTTACAGGATTTTTCACGAAAAGTATTGGATCAGAGCTAATATGTTTGCGTTCATTTATTTTGGAGAAATGCAAAAACGGAAATCTGGCAAGCCCAATTCTCTCACCGCTCTCAATTTCCTTAAGGCCGTAACTTAAGAATCTAAAAGCTACAGGTTGTTAAGTTGCTTACGGTAAGTTAAGTTTTAACTAACCGCCAACACAGTTTCTCATATCAAAGGCAAAAGAAGCCAAAGTTGGGGAACGCAACTAATATTTTCAAGAGTTGCAGGCAGATGACTTTGATCATCTTTTTTTTCTGGCTGAAAAATTGCTACCATAACTCCCCGGCGTGAAAAAGTCTGCCGTCACGAATACGGGAGAAATGCTATCAGCGATTCCGACGAATTCGTAGTTAGGCTGCCTTCGATTTTTGTTTGTTTTGGTTTATTAATTCTAAATCAAAAGTAAAATAAATTATAATTCTCCCGAATTTCGAATTTGCGGGAGAGTTTCGTGATCACGACGAAATTCATAATTTTATTTTAAGTTTCCTTTTAAAGTGTTAATATAAAATGTGTACTATAGCATTAATACGGCGGCTTCTATAACTCTTTCACGTTTAGCACTTAAGAAATTATGAGTAATTGATGTGCAAGGGCACTCTGTGTTATCATTCAAATGTGATAAAACAATTTGTAACCTTGCTAAAGAAAAGCAAAATTTGCTTTACACTTCTGAGTCTATTCATTTGGTTCAAAAGTTATAACATTTTGCTACAATCACTTATCAACAATAGCTTTCTAATTTAAATTATTAAAATATGGCATTCCATTTCACTTAAAAAATGTATTTTCTTCTCCTCATTGTAGATGCATCAAACATGAATGAAGGTGAGTCAGCAGGAGGGGGGGCATCAACGGGCTAGCCCAGCCCCTCCTGCTGTATCCGACCATAGATCAATTTTATCGTCAACAACCTCAACAGCATCGGTGGATACCATCACCGGCTATAGCGGCACAAGCATACCCGCAACCTTTACAGTTGCAACTCCTGATTCCTTTCAAGTCATAGCAACAACGTTTGTGGATTCACCCATTACACCTCGCAGCTTTCAACAAGCGTTTACTCAGCAACATTTGCCGAAACAACTTCAACAAAATTCCCCAAATAGAATATCAACAACAAATATTCAAAGTCCTCTAAACAAACCGCTACAACAGAAATTTCAATATCAAGGGGCGCAGGCGCAGCAGTTGCCTATGCCGCAGACTACACGTTTAGCGGAAACAACTAATACAGCAGCAACTGATATAGTTTCGGAGGCACAAAATCAAATTGATACTAAATCTGGTATTCAGATTACAACACGCGTGCTAGCGACGGACACGTCCGGCAGCCTGGTTAATAGTTTTCCATCCTCAACGAGTACGACAAGTTTAATTGCAGAGGCGGGACAACAAGATTCGCCGCTAGCCAAGCGTCCCAAACTTGGGGGCAGTATCGGTAGTAGCCTAACTGCTTCGTTGTTGCCAACAAGTGGGAGTACGCAGGACAACAGCAATACGGCACTGTCTGCACCAGAGGATATAAATGCGCTCAAGAAGCGCATTTTGGAGCAAAAATATCTCCGTTTGCGAAGTCTTAAAGAAAGGTGTGAATTATAGTCGTAGTGTTGTTAAAGAGTAGCAACCATACGAGACAAGTGTATATATATTTATTTATTTTCACTTGCAGACACACAGAAAATGTCGCCGAATTATTCTACTTGCAAAGCGGTGGCAACATGATGGACTACCCGACGTGGCGTAAGAAACCACCAACCCCGCAGTTCGTCACCTTCAGCAATGCTTATCGTCTAGATCAGTTGGTTAACGAGGACAGAGCTGCTGCATTAGTACAGCAACAACAACAACAAAAAGCAACTGATAATATCGCAACAATAATTGGTGTTGCCAGTACCAATCAAGGCACTCAGCAACAGCAGCAACAACATACACAACAATCACAAAAACAAACACAAGACTATTTGGCTGAAATCATAAATAAAACGGTTAGTAAAATCAATATCCCAGAATTTTATATGAAAATCTAATTTGAAGGATTAAATGATGATAAAATGTCACTGAACAAGTTGGCCGCCTCTATTTTTGAGAAAGTTAACTTTCATAGGATGTTCGCATTTGCGAGGCATTTGTCTGATACATACCAGAAGATTGTATTTCCCAATAAAATTATCTGCATGTGTTGCTGTTAAACTGATTAATTTTATGTTGTTTACATTTTTTACTTTTCAGAGTTCGCAATCTCAAATAGCTACAGATATAAGTAATAGTAGTGGTAGCAACAGCAACAGCAGCTGTAGTGGGACTTCATCAGGGGTCGCACAGAGCCTTGGTAACACACCTACAGTTACAGCGACAGCGACAACTTTAACGCCTGGCAGTGGTGGTGGAGGTAATTTAACCACCACCGATGCGAGTGGCGAAGCGTTGCCACAGGGTGCTGAAATTAAAATTCCCGCCGTAGGCGCAACGCCTGTGGCTGTTTCTACAAAGCTACCAGCAGCTGTTGTACAACTCACTCAACAAGGTATGTGGCGTGTACAGCTTAAGAATTTGTTTTCTCAGTTGAAGTTTTTTGTTTCTAACATTTCATTCGAGTTCCTTATCAAAGCAAAAAGGCTAAAAATTAAACTAAAACATATAAAATTGTCACTTCCTCTTTCGCTTTCCCGACCGTGCACACATAACAAAGCCTTTTCGCCTCTAATCAAATTTATATTATCTCGAGTCGTTACATTTGTTTGATTTTACCTACCTCATTTCTTTAGTTTTGTTTATAACTCTATCAAAATAATTGTAAATTGGCGAAAAAGCATTGCAATGTTTAAAAAAAAAAACAATACAATACACAAATAATTACATTTAGAGAACTTTGGCAACATTTGATAATTAAGTTGAATTACAATTTGTTTTTTTTTATTGTATTATTCTCGAAACTCACATGTTCACACACTCCCTCTCTATCTCACGTTATTCTGTTGTGTATCATCTCTACATTGTATCATTATATAGGTCACATACCCGGTAGACCTTTAGGAGGTCGGCACGGTATGGTATTTGGTCAAATACCCGCCCCACCAGCTGTAGGAAATTCTACCTTACCTTTGGTGCCAGGTGCTTATCATTTTTTTCTTCAGAACAAGCGATTTTCTTTTAAATTATCAACTACATAGTTTTGAATTGCGTATTTAATTAGAATACAATTTAAATAGTTTGTTTTGTTTTCATTTTCATTGAGGTAGATAAATACATACATAAATGTGCATTTTATATGCAATTTGAATATAGTACGATTTTTCTATTGCTTTCTCATGCTTCTTGTTGACTTAATAAACATATATTTTCATTGTTATAATTGATTGGATTTATTCGATTGCTTTTTTTCTAGTATATCTTTTACCCCTAAATGTTTTATTTTCACCTGTTTGATTCTCTGCTTAATAACATTATTGAGTTTCTGATTTTAGTATTTTTAAATTTTGGAGTAAGGAAATAATTATTAGCAATATACGCAGGGGTTGAGTTTATTTGGTATGGGAAAAATATATGTAGGCTACCGCTAAAATTCAAGTTTGCATTTTATGATCGCGTTGAGTTTAAACCTATTGAAAGCATTTCATGTCTACTGTAGCAGCAGCTTGTTTTTTAGTACCGCAATTCGCAGAGGGACAATGTTTTACATACGACTCAAAATTTAGGAATATTAATAATTACATCGGCTCAAAAAAAAAATCCGAACTCGGGTTTGACCTCAAGTTCATGCTTAATATTTATGAAGGTCTTCATTTTGAGTATAAAATTGTGTTGTATGGGTATAATAAAAAGATTTTAGTCTAATTTCATATGTACATAACTACATACAAAAACAAATATAATAAAAACGAGTTCCAACTTGTGTAATTAAACCATCTTTGTAAGAAACAATAAAAAGGTTTGAGGAATGTTTTTATTTATTTATTTAATCAAATGGAATGCAAATCCTTACTGACTATGTATTAAACATAGCAGCTTAAGCACTACCTAAAGTAATTTAGCAGGCCAAAGTAATTTAGTAGCCGCTACAACAACAACACCAACTGTTCCCAATGGCAGAGACGGATCATATTCAGAGAGCTCATTTAACTCAGAAAGGGTTCTGAACAAAGGCGAGAATTTTCGTAGTAGTTTTTAGAAATCCCAAGTAAAATAAAGAAACATAACGCAAATTATGAGACGGAACATTTAATACTAACTTCCCCAAAAGATTAGGACAATCGACTGTGCCTTCCACTATTTTAGCCACAAAAGAGGCTGCGAAAGAAGAACGCCTAGTGTTTAACGAACTTTTGACAACGAGAAATACACGGAAATTTTAGAGTGATCCTTAAACAACTGACCATTGCGACGAACGAATGCGAGCATTGCATAATCTTTGGAAATTACACAATTAAAATGGGTTGCGAAGGTTAGTTTTGAGTCGAAGTAAACCCCTAAATCTTTAACCTTGGTGTACACCCAAAGTAGCTACAAAAGGAGTGGAAAGTAGGTTATCCATCCAGTAGAGTTGAGTGGAAAACCAATTGCGATAACTTATTAACTAAGACTTTATTCGAAACTCTATCGAACGCCTTCGAAAAGTCGGTGTACACAGCGTCCACTTGCAAACCTGACTGCATCGCATGAACACAGTCCTCCATGAAGGTAGCAAGGTTGGAGGCTGTCGACCTGCCACTAACGAAACCGTGCTGACAAGGGAAAATTAAACTTTTCACTGCGAAATTAAGCTTCTGTTTGACAACTGATTTCTAAACTTTTGGAACAGTACCTAGTTTGGAAATAGGCCTGCAATTCGAAACATCATTATTGTTCCAGCTTTTGTAAATTGTAATGAAAGCATTTTTCCAGTCGTCAGTAATAAAATATCCAGACGAAAGAGATTTGTTGAACAGTATTGTCAATGGCTGAACAAGCGAGGGATAACGTTTGAGCATAGCACCTGAGAGGCCATCAGAATCCAATTTAAACGAGTGCTTTAAGGAGCAAATGGCTACTTCTACGTCACTTACAGAAACACGCAGTGCGGCTAACTTAAGGGCAGATTCTGAAAGAGGGCAACGTTCAGAAACCATATCAAAATTCGAGACATAATTAAAGGAAAAAAAGTCTGCTAAGAGATTGGCTACCTCAGTAGGTGTGTTAGATTGCTTGTCATTCGAAAAGACATAGGACGGTACACTCGACTTGGCGTTCTTAGATTTTACAAAACTCCAAAATACTTTAGGGTTGCTTTTAATGTCTGCTTCACTTTTACTAATAAACTTATTCTAAAGAGTTTTGTCCAAGAAATTAAAGTTCCTGAGGCAGTACTGATATATGACTAAGACCTACTAGCCCTAAATCTTTTAAAGATCCTATTTTTGCGATTTTTGAGTTGCTTAAGCTCTTTGTTGTATCAGGGTAACTTGTTCGACTTCCTTGTAATTAATGGCACTATTTCTACATTTGAAAACTTTTTATGCGGCCTTAGTGTCGCAAATCAGTACATGTTCTCTATCATGATCATGAAGGCGGCTATTTAAGACATCAAATTTGCACGAACTAAAGCTAAAACTTGGTCAGCATCTCTCAAGAGGAACAGTAGCGATAACATAAAATTGAATATTACCTTCCATAGGAATATGATGAGTATTTGCGCGAGTTATTTTAGATGGGCATTCAAACACCCAATAACCTACATTATTGCTAATAAAGATAAGATCTAAAATAAGCATAAGTTTATTTACAATTCCATTAATTTGTTGTAGACCAATACTTAGGAAACTATCAGTTACATATAAGTTACTGTAGTTGAATTAACCGTGGTAAAATACGAGGAGTTATTGAAGTTATTCCAAGAAACATTTCACAAATTAAAATAACCAAGTACACAAAGGTGGTGTTCGCCAATCCTTGAACTGAGATGCAAGTGTATTAACGACCTGTTGTTGTTGCCTAGATCGATTTAGCCCTCAATCGTTGTCGTCAAGTTCATCTAACGGGAGACCTAGAAAGTGTGCAACTCCGACTATGTTCGTCCATAGTGACAGGGCGTTAGCTGAGTGGGGTTTTGGAAGCCTGCGAAGGGGTGCCTAGAGTCATGAGGTGACTCTCCGCATGCTGGGAACTTGTTGGGCACATTTGCCTGTGTTGTCCAGAGAGAAGTTGGGCTATGGTGGAGCGAGTTTCCCGTGACAGCCAAATATTTGTCCCGTCCACGTCAGATAGTTGAGTTCCCAAAATTGAAATCACAGGTCGGGAGTCGGTGTCGACTTACATCTGTGAAGTTATGAACATCTGAGCTTTGTCCTTCCGTTCGTATTGATGCCTTCTGACGTGCCTAGGCGCGGGCTCTGCCGCAATTAGGTGTCTTCATCACAGCGAGCATTTTAAGAAAGCAACCAGTTACGGTCAGGAGTGCCGTATTCAGGCACCTCTTCCTGCTCGGTTAGACCATCTCGAGAAAAAGTTCCCTAGGAAACTCATCTCTTGTGTTTAGTTGTTGTTGTTTCGTTATAAGGCATCCCTCGTCTCTTCTGCATAACTGCATACAGTGTAGGTCACCTCAGACTAGCTAAACGTCTTGTAAGTCATGACTAAAGTTTCTTTGCCCGCTCCCTGAATGCTGCAGGCAATAGACTAGAAGGCCGACCGTATTTCTTGCTCAAGGCTATTAACAAGCGGAGCTGGTGTTCGCAGAAAATGAGAGCGTGATGTAAAGTAATCCTTGGCACATGTTTTGAAGAGTGTATCAGAGGATTGAGCTGCATAAATTTGTAGGTTTCTGATAGTGAAGAATTTTGAAAAAAAAAAAAGATCTGAGCGGTAGAAAGTAAGGGTGGTATTATCACTTGCGAAGCGAATGATTTTGGCGAAGCGAACGGTTTGCCGAAGCAAATTAAGGGGCAGAGAAGGCATTAAAAGTGTTCGCGATGGAAAGAACTTCCACAAGCTGGTAAAAAAGAACACTCTTAATGCATATTTAAGTTGCGTCCGCCAATCCATTCGCTTCGTCAAACCGTTCGCTTCGCCAAATTCATTCGCTTCGCAAGTGATAATACCGCCCTAATCTTCTTGCAATGGCTGCAGATGTTTTGGCTGGTCGCCAAGTTGATGCAGTCGTCCGCGCAAGTCACGGTTTTGTAAAGATTTATCAGCTTCATAAAGAAAATGCCACTTTGGGGGATTTTTATTTAATCCTACGCGGTTTGCTCTTCGGCTAGACGGGCGACTAGGACCACGGGTAATTGATGATCCACCGCGAGTCAAGGATGTTCGGAAGTCCTCTTCACTTAGTTGACTTGGTTAGCCGTAGGTCTGGACCACGATCATACATATATTCGGAAAGATGCCTTCAGCACCTGTGCCTACTAGCTTTTGTACAACACCCACGCCTGCGTTGGGGGTTATTTGTTGTTTGGAACTCGTTTTTTTTCTGGCAGTTATAAAGCATTCTGTTATCTCGCATTTCTTGCAGTTTTGCTAATGTCAAAAATTTGCGTTTGCAAAACTTAATCTACTTACAAGTGCTAAATAAGATTTAAATTTGATGCTGCCAATTCATTGCGTACAATCCAGAAACTTAATCATTCTAGATTATTGCATACAAAATTATGAATTATAAAATTACTTTTATAAACAAATCAATTATTTGACTGTAAGCCCAATTTTCAATAGGCATTGAAATAGCAAAAAAACAGGTTGCCCTAAAAAATTAACTTACTGATTATAATTATTCATTATTAAATGACTTTGATATTTTTATTTCCTCGAATCATTTCATTTAATGCCAAGTGAAAATCCGGCATTAGTGATACCGTTTCTATAGTTCTATAGTTTAAACAAAAGGTGGTACCTCGGAGGTGGTCCCATACTAATTTGGTTTAGATGAGATCATTGGATCATAAAGAGATTACCGATAGTCTTAAATTTTTATATGAGAACTGAAGTCGGGTTTTTTTTTGCTTAAAAATTACTTGTTTTAACAGATATTAAGTATAAGTATTTGCTTAATTTTTAGAAATATTCTTGTTTGTGTATTTATTCAAAGCTGCACTTTTCCAAATCTTGTAAATTCAAAACATTATTTTGCAGGATTTTCTTAACAAAGTGCTATATTAAAATATTCATTGCGATATTGGCAATTGATTGCTTACAATCCAGAAGCTTAATCATTCTAGATTATCGCATACAAAATTTTGAATTATGAAATTA